CTGCAGAGCTGCCTGGTCAGAGCAATGGCAACACTAATTTATTGAAACTAGCCAGGATTTGAGTGATCAGCTATAAGCCAGATCCTGTTTTTCACAAATTAACCAAAGTAAAAAATAAACCAGCTTGGAGAAACGATGGCTGAGGGGTGACATGATTGAGGTTTATAAGACAATGCATGGGATAGAGTAGGTAGAGAAAGAGGTACTTTTCTCCCTTTCTCACAATACAAGAACTCGTGGGCACTCCAAGAAATTGCTGAGCGGTCGGGTTAGAACGGATAAAAGGAAGTACTTCTTCACCCAAAGAGTGATTAACACTTGGAATTCACTGCCACAGGAAGTGGTGGTGGCTACAAGCATGGACGGCTTCAAAAGGGAATTAGATAAGCATATGGAGCAGAGGTCCATCAGTGGCTATTAGCCACAAGGTATAGATAGGGACTCTGGGGCAAGTGATGCTCTGTCTTCTTGGTGCTTGGGGGGGGGGTCAACAGGGGGAGGGCTTCTAATGTCCTGGCCCCACTGGTGGACCTCCTGATGGCACCTGGTATTTCTGGCCACTGTGTGACACAGAGGGTTGGACTGGATGGGCCTTTGGCCTGATCCAACATTGGCGTCTCTTATGTTCTTATGTTATGTCTGAACTGAGCTTGTGAGAAGTGTATTGAGTAGTTTCTACAATGGGGAAAACGGTGCCTCCCCAGAGCCATTCCGCACTGGGATACAGCACCAGGGGCAAGGTTTAAGCCCCTCTCCCCACAGTCCCAATCTAAATTGGGCCACCACACAGCGGAGAATTAGATTTGAAAAAAAATCACAGAGAGCTCCAAACACAGAATGTTGAGCACTTATTTCATCTTATAGGACTTAATGTAGACATATAAACAGTGTAATCTAGAGTGACGCCCCTGTGATTGTGCATTAATGAGAAATTGTACACAAGAGAAAGACAGGCAGGTGAGAATATAGGTGAAAGATTTTCTCTTTTGCTGAAAATGCAGCATGGAAGACAGAGTGACAATTTCTTTGTATGAATCAGAACCAAGTCAAACACCATTAATCATTCCAAGCTAACACCCACAGTTCATACATGAGCTTGACATATCAGCTTTTTGTACTAAAACAACATGCCTCCACCTCGGTACACAATTACATGCACACAGACAAATAGTCCAGTAAGTTCACAGAACAGAAAATTAAGAATCTAAAGAGAAGAAACGTTCCTAATGTCATACTCAAAATGTATGAGTACATATCTTAAAACAATCATGCAGTCTTGAGACTGTTATGTGGCAGGAATATCTTAGAGCTGCTTACTGCATATCACATACACAACACATGCTGCTACAACGCACCCACTGAGCAGAACTTGGGTCTCAAGAGGAGCCTGGACGACTTACTTTTCACACAATCAGTAACTTTTTACATTAACTAACAGAACATAATTTTTGTTTGACTTTTGAACTGCACCCCATGCTGTTGTGGAACTGCACATTTTTGCCCAGAGCTCCTTGGATCCCCAGGAACTTCTCTGTGGCCCAAAAGATTTCCACCTGTAGAGAGCAACTTTCCTGCCTTCCCTCTCCCACTGATGCTAAAAGTCCTCCTCAAATGCTGTTTTTGGGGGAGTGTCCCCAAAATACATTGGGGAGAAGAAAGAAACTTGTACTCCACAGACAGAAGTCCCTCTGCCTGTGGAAAACACAGTTGGATCCCGGATCGTGTATGTGCTTAAGCTCCTTGGAGGAAGGGTGCTAAAGCATTAGTAAAGTATAACAAATCCTTTTTTTAAAAAAAATTGGTGGCCTATAGCCTGCCCCTTTATCCTACCATTCCTGTGATTTTAGACGTCATGCAAGAACCAACGGTTGTATCCATCATGCAGCGGTTATATCCATCATGCAAGAACCAACGGTTGTATCTGTGCCCTTTCACAGATCTGTGGAGCCCTTCCGATCTAATTTTATTTATTAATTTATGTTATTTATAGTCCACCTTTCTCATTTGGACTTAAGGTGGATTATACAGAGAGAGTCAATATACAACTGACAGATGAGACGTTCAATAAACCATGCAATAGGATTAGGGTTGCAGAACCAACCAGAAGTCTAAAAACAGAACTGAAGCCACATTAAACAATGCAAAAATTACACAGTAGCATCCTAGTTTCAGCAAGCTATACACAGTAGTATAGACCACAGTCCCTAATAATTTTTCCAGATAGCTTTGTGAAGGGCCCATTGCATTTATATTCACTACCCAAGATGCCTGTCTCAAATTGACTCTCCATATCCTGATTTTAAACACACACCTTTATGGACTGATCAGTCATGCAAAGCCATGTGGCTCAGAAGCAAGCAGGTGTTTCTTCAGGGGGTGTGATCAGTCTTGTGGTGTTTGTCTTGCATAGTTTTATCTCATGCCTTTTTTTAGCTCCTAGTTTTTGCCCACACTAAAGATGACTAAGAGATCAACCCTAAAGAGGTCTGCTCAGGGACTCCTGCTCAGCTCTACTCAACGTGGCTTCTACGACAGTAAAATGTTCTTAGGTTTACACTGTAATTCCTCAAAATATACGAATTGCAGTATCTGCTGTGCCTGTGAAAGAGATACCATCAGGTGATCTCTTTTATGGGTCCAACTCTTTGTTAGTATAGGAAAAAACAAGCTTATGAGTAGAAAAATAAATTATTTTGTGATTACCTAACTAGTTCTATGTGAACTAGCCAACAAACACCCTTAGATCTGAGATGTATAGACATGATACAGACATGAGAATCAAGGCAACACCTCACGTTACACAGCAACCTCACTTCCTATATGAATGCCAGGGCTCCACACCAATTTGGCATGTGACAATCTTATAAAAAGGAGGAAGACATTCTGGGTGTGGTCACATGGCAAGCCTACTGCGATTTGTTCCCACTGTAGATTTGATCGGGGATATTTTTTAGCGGGTTCAGATGATCACACATCCCTTGCCCAACCGCTTGCATTGTGCGACGAGGCTCCAGGCACTGTCCAGACAGCCACACTGCCCAAGTGCCACGCCGAACAAAATGAACTACCAATGTGTGACCGAATGCTGTTTTATGTGCGCTTGAGCATTCATGCATTTAATATTTCAGCGCAGGATTAGTCATGCACACCACAGTGAAAGCTGGGGGGGGGACTACCACAAGAAGGACATACAGATGACCTAATTGCATTCATAGTGAGGATTCACACTTCAAGTAGTAGGAAAGTATTTGATTGATTTCCCACAAGCGCTGTTCCGCGCTCACACCTCCCTTTTGCCCCGATGGCACGTGTCAATTTCACACAAGGTGCTGTGTCGCTGCATTTCGCCCTGGAGCTTTGCACGATTTCCCCTGCGTCTACTCAATCCTCAAAAAACAGGACTGAGTAGATGCGGGGGAAATCGCGCAAAGTTGCGGGGCGAAATGCGGCCGCGCAGCAGCTTGTGTGAAATTGACATGTGCCACCGGGACAAAAGGGAGGAGTGAGTGTGGAGCAGTGCTTGTGGGAAACCAGTGTCGGAAAATCTGCTAGAAAACCGGGAGGATTGCGGGGGTGAGTCTGCTTCGATACGGGAGACAGAATCAGCTGTCTGATCAGCCCTTTTAAATGCAATAGGTTGTGAAACCTGATCAAAATGACTGTGTGACCATGACCACAGTTGGGGTTGCCAACCTCCTGGTGGTGCAAACTAAAGAGAGAGATCATGGGAAGGAAGTTGAGAAGAAGCAAACAACCGTGACGTATTATGCCAAAAAAGTCTCTATCAAAGTGGCCAGTGGATTTGATGAGTGTCACTATGAAATACTACTAGAGAGTTTGTCAAAAGGATTAATATTGTATTTCAACGCTACCCACTTTGATAAAGTTATACACAAAACGAGATACAATATGCATGGTTCATTGGTGTTGATGGCATTTAAATTGCTTCCAGTAAACTGAATATTGGAAAAAGAAATTTCTAGTCTTTGAAGACTTTTTTTGGCATAATACATCACAGTTGTTTGCTTCTTCTCCACCTCCTGGTGGTGTCTGGAGATCTACTGGGATTATAATGGATCTCCAGGCAGCAGAGATCAGTTCATCTGAAGGAAATGGGTGCTTTGGAGGGTGGCCTCTATGGTATTTACTTTATTTATGTTTTTATTTTATTGATCAGATTTATACCCCACCCTCCTAGCCAAGTAACAACACATAAATAATGGTTATAAACAATCCTAAAACCTTCTAAAACAATCCAACATTATAAGCGCTAGTAAACATTAATAATATTGCTGAGCGATGGCGGCCACAATTCAGTGATCTATCCTAATGATCAGTTCAGAACTATTCCTTTATGCGGCTGGCACAGGCTGTTGCTGGTAGCACCAAGGGGACCAAGGGGACAGCCTTTCAACTACTGGGGGTGGCTTCTTGTTGACGTCCTTCCCCTCCCCAGATCCCAGCCTCCCCAAGCTCCTCCCCCTCCAAATATCCAGGAGTTTCCCAGCCTGGAGCTAATGTGACCAACACACCATGGTAACAATTATACCAGACAACGGGAATAGGTAGAACAGGCAGGGGTCATTTCCTGCAGGAGTGCACAGGAGCAGAGCTCCGGTAGTAAAGAGCCCAGGGGGCGGGCACATGCAACAAGCCCCACCCCCTGCTCCCAGCATCCCTCAGTCAGAGCAAGAAGCAGCCAGGTAAGTTGCAGAGCCCTCCCCCCCGGTCCAAACCAGTCCAGTGGCACCTTTAAGACCAAGTTTTATTCAGGTACAAGCTCTCCCTCCTCTGAGAGGACAGATCTGCATGTTCCCCCCCCCCAATAGCTAGCACTCCAAAACAGTCCAGTGGAGCCTGAGCGGTGGATGTTGCCTTCTGACACACTTCCGGTGATGTCAGGGGGTGTGGTATATGCAAATAAGTTATGCTAATGAGCTCCTGCACCTCTTTTTCTATGAAATGACCCTTGAGAACAGGTCTTCCTTTCCAGAACATACCTGTTTCGCCCTTTGTAGAAGAAATCTGCACAGCCTCGATTGTGACAGGTCCATTCTTAATATTCTCAGGCGGTTCAGAAGAGATCTAGAGCATCAAACTATGGTTAGTCATCAGAATGTCTGTTGTACTACTTGGCACATTGAAACAGCAAAAAAAAAAAAATTCTGGAAAATTATTATAAGAGTACTATGCATACTAACTGCCCATAGTCTTCACCAGTAGGGTTGGCAACTGGCCTGAACAAAAAAAAAGTCCTGTGCCTTTAATTAGAAGCTTAATGGGTGGAAACAGGCTGCTGAAGATTTTCATGGCATGGAGGGAAATAGCATCCCATAACACTGTGGGGAAGCCGGGGAGGGGACTACTTCCCAGCAGCATCCAACCCAGGACAAAGAACCCTTGTGTCAGTGACCTATGTCTTAATACCTGAACACAAATATAAGAAAACCACAGCGAAACAGAAAATCCAGATTCTAATCCCTTACTGTGTAGCTGGCTAGCTCCTTCATTCCAAATATCCCATCTCAGTCCTTAAACATCACCAGTATTAGCTGTAATGGGGCAAGGCTTACGCTGGGCGATTAAAGACCAAGGTTATGAATTTTAAAAAGCAATTTGATTTCTCCAGAGAGCAACGCCCAAGCCAAACATCACAAAGCATTCTACAGAAAGTTACCTCTGCGTATGATGTCCTGTGAATGATTTCTTGATCTGAAGGCTCCTCTTCTTTCGTTAGCGTGTTCCCCATACTGGCTGTATTTGAGAAAACCCAAAGCAGATGTTTAGGAAAGGCAAGAGGGAACACACATGAAGCTGCCTTATAATGAATCGGATTGTTGGTCCACCAAGGGCAGGAATATCTACTCGGACTGGCCATGGCTTTCCAGGGTCTCAGGTAGGGGTCTTTCATATCACCTACTACCAGGTCCTTGATTGGAGATGATGGAGATTGAACTTGGGACCTTCTGCATGCCAAGCAAATACTCTACCACTGAGCCACAGCAGGTCTGAGCCATGATCCCACATAGGAATCAGCTGCATTCTCACACTGCCTGATTTTAGCTGTGCCTTCAGATTTGAGAATGCAACTGATCCCTATGGAGGATTATACAAGTATCCATTTCTTTAGAGAGACGTATATGCTGCATCTCCAGAGACCTGCCCAAGACAACTCATGAATTAAAACAGTACAACAAAACCAAAAGCATAAAAACAATCCCTTAAACACAAGGCAGAGGCATAAAAACAGCATAAAAGAAGGTTGAGCAATCCAAAGTCAGTCTATTTCCCCACAGGGGAAGGAACGGAAGTAGTAGTGAAATCGGCTACGACAGCTTCAGTCATTGGAGCAGGGTCTTCTGCAGGGGCCAATCTGCAAATGGGCAAAATCAATAACTGCCCCTACATGGGTCATCTCTGCTGTGGCCCCCGCCTTGAGAGACAGCCTGCCTGAGGAGGTCAGAAGGCTCCCATCCCCCTGGCTTTCTGCAAACTATGCAAGACTGAATGCTTCAAGAGGGCTTTTCTATCCTTTTCGGGCTCAGCACAGGGGGAGAGGTGGTCTTGCCGATACGAGGGTCCAAGGCCATGAAGGGCTTTGTATGTGATAGTGAATACCAATGCTCCCTCTAAGCTGTGGAGTCTAGTGAGCAAAAATTCAGCTTTGTGAGGTACTGGCATTAAAGCTGTGAGCAGGCGATTTGGGTACTGCATAGATTAGCTTGCTCTGGAGCTATCCCTTCCTGAGCTAAGGCAAAAATGTGTGAGCTGGAGGCTAAAAAACTGTGAGCTAGCTAACTCAGCTTAGAGGGAACCCTGGTGAATACCCTAAATTGAGCCTCGTAACAGATGGGCAGCCAGTGAAGTGCCTGCAGGATGGGAGTAATATGTATGCTCTATCTAACTCTCAGTAACAGCTGAGCCGCCAACAGAATTTACCAGAGAATGGGCTTTTCGAGCATTGGTACCTCACCTGTGGAATTCCTTTCCCCTTGAGGCTCACCTGGTACCTACACTGCTGTCTTATAGGCACCAGGCCAAAATGTTTCTTTTTAACCAGACTTTTAATTAAGGATTGATTTTTAACCTCATTGTTATAGGCCTATCACACATGCACATTTTACTGCAGATTTTCAGGGCAGTAATCCTTTAAACTTGACTTTGGATTCTGTGCCCACCTTACATACCATTCTTTTCCCTCTAGTGTATTTATTCTGCAGCTACAGTTTTAAAAATGCATTTTTCTAAATTGGGTTGGAATGTCACTTGCAATGTGTGGGGAGGGGTGTCCAAGGTTTTTTTTTTTTTTTTAAGTATGCAATTGCAGCTGTACAGTAGTGCCCAGTAAGCACTTTCCATTTAAATCCTCGTGGTTCAGGTTTTGTGCATGCATTTTAGTGTTAGTTCCTTGCATGAAAGAGAACAGAAAGGAATGCAGGCAAAGGGGGAAAAACAATGTTGAAATTGACAAGACTTTTTTTTAAAAACTGACAAGCATCTGCAAAGCCCCATTTTCCATATTGCAAAGCTCTAGGGGATTCTCTGCTGTGTTATCAGCCACTGTGAGAAATAGGAAAGAGTCACACGATCTCATAATATAGGAGAACACGTTGAGTGTACAGAATGCATGGTAGAACCCACTGACACTGGCATTGCAAGCATGTGTATGTGTGCCTGTGCAAAGTCGGCCACAACACCACGCTTTGCACAGGGCTGCAAATTGTGTGGGGGAGGAGTCCTCTGGCAGAAGCCCTGGAGAGCTTTTTTAGTCTTGTGCCACTGAATTGGAAGAATTTGGGGGGCATATTTTTGCTGATGCCCTAGCACAGCTGCATAGTAATGCTAATTTCCTGCCCTTCCTTGCAAATTTCTGCAGTTTTCTTTTTGTGATTCTCTAATTAGATCCTGCACACTGGTCGTGATCTTGGCAGTTTTTTAGAGCCTTTCCCGTGCGGATTGCACTCTTCCTTCAATTGGGTTGATCCTAAGCAATTCTTAAGTTCGGCGGTTTGCAGAAGTTCCACCTGGCTCAGCCGCCATTTCAGTGTTAGGCTTCCAGAGACTGACAAAATGGTTTCCCAAAAAACTTTGTTCACTAAAGCATTCAAGGGAAAAATGTTTTAAGAACATAAGAACATAAGAGATGCCAATGTTGGATCAGGCCAAAGGCCCATCCAGTCCAACACTCTGTATCACACAGTGGCCAGAAATACCAGTGCCATCAGGAGGTCCACCAGTGGGGCCAGGACATTAGAAGCCCTCCCAATGTTGACCCCCCCCCCCAAGCACCAAGATGACAGAGCATCACTTGCCCCAGAGTCCCTATCTATACCTTGTGGCTAATAGCCACGGATGGACCTCTGCTCCATATACTTATCTAATTCCCTTTTGAAGCCGTCCATGCTTTCAAAGCTTTAGGCTTCCCATCTCAGTCTCACTCTCTCTCTCTCTCTTTACAACTCATGTCAATTTCATTCCATGCTGATGATCCCCCCCTTTTTTTTGTTTTGCATGCAGCACTGAAATCCTTCCCCCCCCCCCCGTTGTTGTTTTTTTTGCACTGTGGATGCTGCGATTTGTCTCCTCTCTGATCCCCCTTTCAAGCCAATAACAGCAGGGAACTCATGTCCCCTGTTGTTTTAATTTTTTTGTTCAGCAATCCAAGAATAGCAATAGCTCAAGGAGCCCCAAAAGGACAGGGGGAAATCCGAGGGAACCTGTATGCTTTTTAATTACTTTCAGCTTGAAAGTGAAACAAGGGAAAAATCACCACAAAAGCACTCTCAGAAAACTCGGGGAAACGACAGCCAGAAAGCAAACTGAGCACTGAAGGGAGGATAATCAATGCAGAAGGACAAAGAAAACCAGACAGACGTGCACAGTGAAAGTGAGGGAAAATACCTGTGCATAATAGGCCATAGTCTGCTTTTAGCCTGAAGACAGTGTAGTTTCACCTGCTTCATGTTGCACTGTCTGGGGGTTTTAACGATGGGTTTTAATTAATAACGTCTGGCAATTTGCATGTTTTATTTTTGTGAGCTGCCTCATTCAGGCTTCATGGAGAGGCTGCATAGAAATTTTCTAAATAAATACATGTATGGGCCTGCAGCAGCACCACTGATGGGAAAAGACAGAAAGAGTGAGTTCACCCAGTCAGCCCTTCTCACGAATGCCTTCTGAGCTTTTCGTCTATGCGGTTCCTGTAGCTTTTAGTGGTCTCAGGAAGCTATAGGGGGAAGTTGGGAAAGAACCACATGGCAAATGTCCTTACATGGTATGGGATCCAAGCCTGTCCTGTCTCCTCTCACATTGCATATGCTGGCCGGCAAAGAAAATAGTATCAAAAACATATTTTTATTTATGGTGTACACAATATCAAATATTAACATTTTTCAACCCCCCCTTTTTTCCACAGTTATTTCTTATACTTCTTATTTATAACTTGGCTTTCTTTTTTGTATATTTTCAGAAAGCAACACCTGGCTTTAGTTTATATATATTTGCTTCTGGGTGAGTGTGTTTTATCATAGTATTATTGACTAATGAGGAAGGCCCTAGAGGCTGAAATGTGTATGTTCCTATTGGTAATTTGTTATACACATCAGCTATGTATGTGAAATCATCAACTGTGTATGTAAAATGAGGAAAGCTTATTTCAAGCTCTTGTTGATGTTCTATGAAGTCTGACTTTCAGACTGCTTGTTTTTAATCTTTTAATATTTGCTATTGTGTACACCATAAATAAAAATATATATATTTGATAATATTTAAGTAAGCTTGACCCTTTAAACAGTGCTGGTATATTTTGGGTTGAGTTTGCTTCCCCCCTTTTTTGTCCTCAGCAAGGAAAATAGCCATTAATCGAATCTCTTACTTTCTGCTTTTCCACAAAAACTGGCTCACAATCTCTCCTTATATATAATTGAATAGTGGGTGCCAAAGTTCTAAAATGCACTCCTTTAGTGTATGGACGCTTGAACTGTCAGTCAGAAGACGCTGGCTGGGTTGACTGGCTGCTTTGTGCAGTCCCGCCCAGCGTTTCAAGGTCTTTTGCATATGGAAGCTGATTGGACTTCACTGCATTCCACACCTCAAACTCACCCCCCTCCCCGCAAGGCAGTTGGAATGTCAGTTGCATATGGAACCTTCAAGGTCTTTTGCATTTGGAAGCTGATTGGACTTCACTCCATTCCACACCTCATACTCCCACCCCCCCGCAAGGCAGTTGGAATGTCTGGTGGTGTGTAGGTCCCAGGATCATGTTTTAAAAGCTGCCTGGGGAGATGGGGACCTCAGACAGGTTACAGTGCCATAGACTCCACCCTCCAACCCAGGCGGCCGCTGGTGGGAGCCGCGGGTGCCCGGGCCGAGATTGGGGGGGCAAGGCGGGCGACAGAAGGCCGATGCCTCCGTCGCCCGGCCCTCTACAGAATCCACCCCCCAAACCTCCAGGTATTTCCCTCCTTAGAGCTGGCAACCCTACATTCCCCTCAGTGCCTGTTGGTAGGCAACTAAGCTTGGTCCTGTCACCTACTTTGGCCTTTGGGAGAAAACACATTGGGGCCAATCCTGATAGGGTTGCCAACTCCAGATGGGAAATTCCTGGAGATTTGAGGGATGGAGCCTGAAGAGGGTGAGGTTTGAGGAGGGGTGGGACCTCAGACAGGTACACTGCCATAGACTCCACCCTCCAAACCAGTCAGTCTCACATAGGGAACCATTGTTGCCAATCTCCAGGTGAGGGCTGGAGAGCA